TTCACTCTTCCTTTGAACTGTATTATTCTGTCAGTCTCTTTTTTCGGAACTCTAGTTCTAGGTGTTCAATCTTTTTCGGAAGGTAAGGAGTATATAGAATATATATTCTTATTGATATATTATAGTTTCAAGGAAATCGACTGCGCGTGTTCGTCTATCGTGGTTCTGAATAAGAAAATCCGGAGAAATTATGTCGATTCTTTTCGAGATGAAAATCGAAGAAGTGGATTAAAGATGGATATTAACAAGCGAAAGGGAAAATCGAGAATTAAATTTAAATATTTAATATTAATATTTTCTTGCACATATTAATTTATTGTGCATAAAATAATTATTTCATTTTTCGGACGAGAAAAGAGATAGAATGTACGATGTTGAAGGTACACAAGACGGGATATTTTTCAGATTTTCAGAACCGTGGACCGTGAACAATGTTCGTGTACGTAATGCATTCGCGGCGATATTAAGTTTTAAGACATTTTACGCGAAATGTCTTTGCAACAAAATGCCAGCAACATCCGATTTCAATGAATTACAAGGATTTATCTCATTATAACTCTTGTAACACATTACTTTTGTCTTTGTATATATTTATTTCTTCGTAGAGATCCTAACAAATTCTTGAAAAACACATTCACGTACCCCTGTAATTAATCGATACATTTTCTAATTTCATTAATAACGCTGCAGATGCGTACGTAACACGCGCGTAATCGCGGAGCGTAATCGAGCGTTGACTAGCGCGTTATACGTTATACTTAGCTCTTAAGTTAAACGAGAAGAGTAGCGAATAAAAAAAGAACAAAAAAAAGAAAATAGAAAATATATAGAGAGACGTAGAGTAATATATATAGAAGAGAATAATCGCGCGTAGAGCTCTATTTCATCCTACCATACTGTAATTAAATCTGTCGTTCTCCTGATTACACGCCCATTAATACACTTATTTACACACATATACGCATATTTTTAAGATGTTTTTGTGCATTTATAATGTCGTAATAAAAGTTCCGAATCTCTCTCGTGTCATGACAAGATTTGTTAGAGCCCCTGTGCGACAAAATGTCTTGTCTCTGTTTGTGTAACAAGCAACTTCCAATATTTATTTAATATTTGAATTCTAATATTGAAATCTTTTTTGATATTCTGATGAAATATCCTTAAGCATAGTATGTTATTTTAAAAATTTATCTTGTCTATTTTATTATATCCATTTTCGAAAAATCTAAAATATTGTTATATAATATAAAATCTTTCTATTAAAAAAAAAAATGAAATCAAAAAGTTTGCTGTTAATGAAATATTTCAAAGGTGTTGATTGACAAAGGAAATTTTTTTTTATAATGAATATATTTTCGCAATAAATTTTGTCTTTCTTCTTCATTATAGAAATTCGAGCGAGTTGAGCATAGACATAGAAATATATGATTGCGTGTATCTTAACCGTAAGCGTGCGACAAAATTAGAAGAAGACCGCAATATTGAATCTTAATAAAACAGCTGACAGAAATTTATCTCTGTAAATAACATTATATTTATCTCTTTCAACAGAGGAATTTACTGAATTTTTTATGATTCCTCAATGTTTATAACTCTTTCTTTCTCTATACACATATCCCTAACAACACACACGTTAAAAGACGTGGATGTAAACATTCCCTGGATGCCCTCTAGACATTTTTCGAATGTGTATGTTATTAAGAGTCTCTTCCAATCATAGACATAGTATATCTAGACCGAGCGTTTGCCTTTATTTACCTCCAAAGTTTTCTTTCTCTCTCTAAACGTGGCGCAGCGTTTGATTGGCTACGCGCAGTCTGTGTTACTACGTCTTTGATTTTTCGCAGTTGGCACTACTGGAGCGGACGCCATGTTCCTTCTTTCTCTCCGTAGCAGCTCAAACGCGCGAACGTTCGTCGATCGAATTTGCGTAAAATTTCTCGGGATTAACGCGATAAAGTGTATCAAGCGAGTGAAATCACGATTCGTATTAGTTTTTGGGAACAAGAGATCGCTGTGGAATCGATCAAATATACGCGATCGCTACGATATTTCGCGATCGCGATATTTACGTCGCCGCGACTGCGCTTGTTTTTCAAACGAACTTTTAACGAATTTTCTTTAAGCTTTCTCGCGGAGTGTGTTGTGTATTCGGCTACAAGACCAATATCCTGTTGTTACAGCGGTCTTTCCTATCTTCTCTTTGGTAAGTGACAACACGAATATTATTCTCGTAGGAAAAAAGCGAAATTATACATCGAAATATTGAAATCGTTTGTAATGGAAAGAGAATTTATGTGCGATGCTTAAAGATCAAAATGGCGTGCACGATAGCGCGAATATCGATCTACTTGAGTTATCTAATTACGCAAAATATTTATTCCGTATTATCGCGATTAATTTTTTTTTTAATTAAAAGCTAAATTTGACGATATGACACTTATACATATAATTTTCTGACATGTATAATATATTTTTAAATTAGAAAGGAGAGAGAGAGGGATAAAAATTTTTTACATAGATAAAAAAAAATATGTATCTATGAATATATAATTGATTTATTGTATCATGTTCGTACTCGCGTGTGTTCTACGTTATAGTTCTATGCTAGAATCGACAAAAATTGGCTAACACTTTGGACTACCCGGTATACAGAGTTGGTTTGATTCCGCTCGCCGAAACTCGTCGGTGATTAGTTATTACAGTATATTTTTTCAGCTATGTACAGTTTCACTATGTTAAAAAGTCGCCGCGAAAATAGCTCTATATAAAAATTCCTTCACAAAATTTTCGTAACAATTTGATAAAAGTAACAGGGAAATAGATAAGAACACAAGAGAAAGGGAGAATTGGACGAAGAAATGGAATAAAAAAAAAAAGAGTTCAATAAATGATGAGCTATCAAAAATCGTGGCACGTTATTAGAAATCGTAATTAGTACTCGCTTAATAATCGTGTCTTTCTATGTACAATTTGTGAACGTCTCGCTAAAGCTAGCATAAACGTCTACGCGTTATGTAAATATATATATAATATAAAAAAAGTATACTCGTCGTCGAAGACGAAGCGGGAAAATATTCCCTCCTAATTCTATATGATGAAAATGTAGGAGTCTAACAAACCGCGGATCTCTGTGCGTCCAAAGATCTGTGAAAGGAATTTTAATTAAGGATTCTAAGAATACGATATCATGTGAATTTACAGATTCCAAATATTCGTGCGATCATATATTGTATTGAAAGATCTGTGGAAATGTGGATTCGTAAATTGAAAAATTTACAAATCTGGAGATCTATAGATATACGATTTACGGATTGAAGAATCTCGAAAAATAATAATTTAAGAAAACACGAATTTGTGGATTCTGTGATTTATCGAAACACGGATTTTGAGAATCCGAGAGCCTATGAAAAATATGTGGGGCTACGGATATATGCGAAATGCCCGATTAGATCTATGGATTCCAAAGATCTGCGCGGATATATACAGTATATCTATATGTATGTACGTGTATACATATATAATTGATCGATTGCGTTAAATTGGGATGTACATGCTATGTGCCGCGAGCCTGCTCATCGGCCGAAATACTGCACGGTGCTCCGAAACATTACAAGGCATCGCCACTTGCTGCTACTTACAAAGTCGTTCTCACGATTTCGAGCATACTGATCTCGTTTCATTAATTATGCCTATTGTTCAATAGGATTTTATTCTTGGAGATACGCGTTTAATTAAGTGATCGCATATATGTTTCAATCAAGTATATGTAAAATTCATAAGGCAGCATTCGCACAATTATTAAAAGTAAAAATTTCTATCTTTCTCTAATGTCGATAAGAATCGTCAGATTATAATGTAATTAACGATACTTATAATACATTTTGTCAGTTACAATATGTCACATTAATTTTGTTCGCAATAATAATTCAATATCTCACAGGAGAAACGACATAACATTAAATGTGTCATTCTCAATTTATGATACACCAACTTACATCTATATAAGATTCAGAAAATTACGCCAAGTATTAATTCAGCGCTAAATGTAAAACACGAATTTTTTTAAATTTTTGTTTCATTTCGCGACACAAGATCATCCATTTTCCGCTCTACGCGCGACCTTGCTAGTTGATTCGCGATGCTCTTTGTCGGATCTATGGGATTCCGCGTGAAATCGTGATACACACACGTGAGATCCATATTTCCAGGCGTCATGGCTGCTGTGACCCGCATGAGATTTCCGTGTGAACGAATTAAATCGTTACTAGAGACACTCGAGTCAGAGTCTGACTGAAAAATTAATTGTAGAAAATAATTTCTAGATATAGAGATAAACATTAAGAATGTTCATTAAAAATTATTACAAGTCTAAGAACACTTAACGAATTTAAATTCCAAATTGTCAACTTTAACGAGCTTAAAATTGAATTAATTACACATTTGATCCAAAAATGCAAAAAAAACTATTTTTTTTGTATTAAAAGAATAATTTTTTGTATTTTATGCTTTGTAAAACAGATTTATGAAAAAATATTTAATTTCTAAATAAAGTTATTTATATTATAGCTTTTACTATTCCAATTCAGAAAAGAAATGTATTTTGCTTTGTGGTTTTTGAGTTAATATTACAAAAATAAAATAAAATAAAATAGAATAATCATATACAGCAATAAACTAGATATATTGCTCTGTCCTTTTTTTGAAAAAAAAATATGCAATCTACGAATTAATATAATTTGCAATTCAAATTTTCTCAATCAACAGATAAGATATAATTTTTGTATAATAGTTTTTTTCGTATATAATTGTTATTGGCATAATACGAAACTTGAAACTTTTTATCTTAACAAAATCATGAAAAACTACTACTCTGGCTCGAGTATATCCCTAGTCATTACTCGACATTACTAACACGGGGGCACAGGAACTCACCAACCTTAATGCATATTGATACGAAGTGGTGACTAGTAGATTTTTGCCGAGCACTCCGCCGCGTCCGGTCTATATGTTTCCGCCAACAGAAGGAGTTTCCCAGGGATAGAAGAAGAGATAGTATCGCGAAAAATATCGAAGAGAAAGCTTGCAAAATAAGATAAAAAGTTTCAACGATTTTACGGTATATTGCAATAGTTTGTAATAACAGCGATTATTTTCTCTGATTGCGTTCCAGCCATTTATATTTCATTGCGTTGTATTTCGCGTAGCGTAGACAGCGAAACATTTTCTATCGCATTAACAGTCTATCATTGTTTCTCATTATGGATGGCAGACTTATAAGTACCGCGTGCATGTTACATTGCTCTACGAATAAATAAGTGTTTATGAATATTTATCCCGAAATAATCCACCGCAGTATCTGTCAGAGACTGCTAAGAAGTGTGTTCCTCGCGTTACTCATGTTTGTTCTTATCGAATATTTAAGTATTAAGAAAACTTTATCTCGCTTAACGGGAAGTTCGATTTCGAGGATCGATTCCAAGAAAATTCGTCACACTTGGTGTGAAATAGCGTTCAAAGATGATGAGGAGATTTGCTGAGATTACCAATCACTCGCGCGAGATTTCGTCGAGGAAGTAGTTTCGTCACGCTTTCGGCACGAGGAAAAAGCTCGCGACGCGAGCGTGGGGAATGTGGACACTCTAAATAAAACGCATTATAAATCGGGAATTTGGCCGGCGATTGAGTCACGCGCCGCGACAACGACGGCGACACCGAAATTCCAGCTTGACTTTTTTTTTCCGATCACGCCGTCTTCTTCCGATGGACGTCCACGTTCGCGTTATCGCTGTTCCAGTAATCATTTCTCTGGTTTCTATAATTAAGCCTCTTTGCGGATTTATCTTCTGTCAGAATTACGTAAAGTAATTTCAAACGTGTGGATCGTACTATCTCTCTCGTACATGTATCAAACGCGCGAGATGGACCTAATTAGGCACGCCGCGAGAGGAAGCTCTGTTTTTTTTTTCATTCGCACAATTATTAAAAGTAAAAATTTCTATCTTTCTCTAATGTCGATAAGAATCGTCAGATTATAATGTAATTAACGATACTTATAATACATTTTGTCAGTTACAATATGTCACATTAATTTTGTTCGCAATAATAATTCAATATCTCACAGGAGAAACGACATAACATTAAATGTGTCATTCTCAATTTATGATACACCAACTTACATCTATATAAGATTCAGAAAATTACGCCAAGTATTAATTCAGCGCTAAATGTAAAACACGAATTTTTTTAAATTTTTGTTTCATTTCGCGACACAAGATCATCCATTTTCCGCTCTACGCGCGACCTTGCTAGTTGATTCGCGATGCTCTTTGTCGGATCTATGGGATTCCGCGTGAAATCGTGATACACACACGTGAGATCCATATTTCCAGGCGTCATGGCTGCTGTGACCCGCATGAGATTTCCGTGTGAACGAATTAAATCGTTACTAGAGACACTCGAGTCAGAGTCTGACTGAAAAATTAATTGTAGAAAATAATTTCTAGATATAGAGATAAACATTAAGAATGTTCATTAAAAATTATTACAAGTCTAAGAACACTTAACGAATTTAAATTCCAAATTGTCAACTTTAACGAGCTTAAAATTGAATTAATTACACATTTGATCCAAAAATGCAAAAAAAACTATTTTTTTTGTATTAAAAGAATAATTTTTTGTATTTTATGCTTTGTAAAACAGATTTATGAAAAAATATTTAATTTCTAAATAAAGTTATTTATATTATAGCTTTTACTATTCCAATTCAGAAAAGAAATGTATTTTGCTTTGTGGTTTTTGAGTTAATATTACAAAAATAAAATAAAATAAAATAGAATAATCATATACAGCAATAAACTAGATATATTGCTCTGTCCTTTTTTTGAAAAAAAAATATGCAATCTACGAATTAATATAATTTGCAATTCAAATTTTCTCAATCAACAGATAAGATATAATTTTTGTATAATAGTTTTTTTCGTATATAATTGTTATTGGCATAATACGAAACTTGAAACTTTTTATCTTAACAAAATCATGAAAAACTACTACTCTGGCTCGAGTATATCCCTAGTCATTACTCGACATTACTAACACGGGGGCACAGGAACTCACCAACCTTAATGCATATTGATACGAAGTGGTGACTAGTAGATTTTTGCCGAGCACTCCGCCGCGTCCGGTCTATATGTTTCCGCCAACAGAAGGAGTTTCCCAGGGATAGAAGAAGAGATAGTATCGCGAAAAATATCGAAGAGAAAGCTTGCAAAATAAGATAAAAAGTTTCAACGATTTTACGGTATATTGCAATAGTTTGTAATAACAGCGATTATTTTCTCTGATTGCGTTCCAGCCATTTATATTTCATTGCGTTGTATTTCGCGTAGCGTAGACAGCGAAACATTTTCTATCGCATTAACAGTCTATCATTGTTTCTCATTATGGATGGCAGACTTATAAGTACCGCGTGCATGTTACATTGCTCTACGAATAAATAAGTGTTTATGAATATTTATCCCGAAATAATCCACCGCAGTATCTGTCAGAGACTGCTAAGAAGTGTGTTCCTCGCGTTACTCATGTTTGTTCTTATCGAATATTTAAGTATTAAGAAAACTTTATCTCGCTTAACGGGAAGTTCGATTTCGAGGATCGATTACAAGAATTCCTAAGAAATCATTCTTTCTTTAATTACTCTGCGCGATCTTTAGAGATATATACATCACGCGCTAATTACTTCACAATATCGTATCTCCTCTTCTTTATTATTCGCGGTTACTAATACGTTATCTCGAAAAAAGATAAGAAGGAAGGGATGGGATTGCGTATAGAGTCTCTCTACATGCGTACAGAATGTACGAGGAGTTTGGCGCTCACATGTGAGTCTTTCTGCACATCCCGCGAATTAGAGTTTTTAGAGGCCGGATGCGGCGGCGGATAAAGTGCGCGATTAATTAAATCTGCGGCAAGTGAAATTCGTCGAATTCGTCAACTGATCCCAAACTGTTCGACATCTCGTAGACTTTCTCCAGTGTGGTAGCTGGATGCCGAGCCGCTTGCATTCGTGCGCGTACGCCATGAAGGACTGGCAGTAACAGTGCTCGGTCGGGCACTCGCACATGTCCTGAAGGCAGGCTTTGTAATACATCATCGGATTCACCTTCTTATGGCAAGGATCGAAGATTTGCGATCTCAGTCGATTGCATAGTCTAAAATCGCGGAGAAACAAAATTACAGTGTTGTAAAAAATAACTTACAAATCGTTTATTTTGAAAGATATAGAAGTGAAATTTTGAAAATGTTTGCAATGATACCGGGAATAATAAATGAAAGAATAAAAAGAGAATAATAATTATCAACCAAATCATATATTAATTAAAAATTATTAGTTTTGTAGCAATTTTGCATCACATTTAATCTTGGCAACATTATTTTCTATAATTGCAAATATGAGAATAATAGAATCTTAGAGAAATTATTTTATAGCTGTTGTATAAAATGTGATATCAATAGTGTGATAGTAATTTTTTTTTAATTCTTTTTATAATTCCTGAATTTGAAAAAATATATAATATACAAAGAAAAAATTGGAAAGTCCATGAAAATTACCGGTGATCCTTTCTTCCTCGACAACGTCTCTCCTTATCGATATTTCCTGATCTTTGAAGTCGAGTGCATGTTTTCTTGGCACCTACGACCCAAGATTGACCGAATTTCTGCACATCCTGCAGCAATCGGCCGCGTCGCGTCGTGAAATCGTCCTTGGTCTGGGAATTGAAGTTACCGCAAAGACCGCACAATCGACCTCTGTACGACGTAGGCACGGACACCTCGAGAAAGCTGATACCGTCCCAGAGAACCTTGATCCCGATGTGCGTGTTGACGATCACGCTGTCGGTCGTACAGTTAATGTCCAATCGGTTAACGACGCGATAAGGAAGGTCCACCTTCTTCCCGTTTACCTTCACCCTCATTTTTTGACCAAGGTTTACTTTCAAGTCGCCGATCTGTAACACGGGACGCGATTAGAACAAAAGTTTCTTTCTTCCCCCTGATGGGATTGCTTTTGATAGAACAAGAAAGCCTTGCCTCAGGGTAGACTTCGTTTCGCAAGGCTATTAGTCAAGCAACTCGGTAGTCAGAATTTGTACTTTCAGTACATATCATTCGATATTCAACATCATTAATTGTATATATTTTCAAGAATATTGAAAATATTAGTTTTAACATTATTTGACTTGAAAATTTGAATGCGATGATATGATTTTCCAATTTTTTTAAAAATTATATATATATATATATATATATATACAATATATTCCACCCCAATTAAAAAAAGTAATGTTTAAATTTATTCCACGTTACAATTGTACTGACATTTTCGCATTAATTTAATACACTCACTTTCAAAGCAATGGTTTTGGTCCATGCTGAAGACATTGTTTTTCTTGCATCGTTAGTCACACGTATACTAAATGTGTGAGTGGCACAATCATTGACCAATTGATATTTGCATGCCCCTTTGAAGCTATAGAATTTACCATCGAACGTACGATAGTGCGGGTCTCCAAAAACCGTGCAAATCCCATCACCTGGAAGAATCGATAATTTTTAATTCTAAATATCAATAGTATATGCGATAGCATAATGTACAAAGTATGCTTACTTTCAACGCATCGCGGACAGCATTGACCTTCCGGATGTTCCAATTTTGAATATGGCGGACAAGGTAGATTCAACTGCGGACACATAGGCATCGCGCAGCGTACTTTGCCCTGCTTGCAGGTGCACGTCTTGCAGGAATCAAGCTTCCAATCTTCGCCATCCTGCCTAGGACAAAAAAGAACGTTTAAACCAGGACAAGACAAACGTTTAACCCCGCGAAAAAATTTACGAGATTTATTTTTTATTAAAAAAAAAAAAATTTCATTAAGGAGAAATATACCGAAACAAGGTATATTTTTTGGCCTTAGTTGAAAACTCAAAATAAAAATTTATATTCGTCGATATTTACTAGACACCGCCACTCTTATCAGATTCTATCACAGTTTTGATAAGAAGTGTTTTTAAATTTTATTTCTTGAACATTTTTTTTTTAAAAGCGAGCAAAAAAAAATTAATTAACAATTGAGATGCACGTCATTGATCCTTAAAATCAATATATTGAAAATATGCAGAAATTTTTCATATGATATGTGAAAATCGTATTTAAACAATATCCTTGATTTTTTACTAATTGTAAGTCATTTGTTTATTAAAATTCTACATCATTTTAGTCCGTTTATCCTCGATAATCCCTCGGTTCGTTTGCGTCGCGTTCGCAGATTAAAATCATTTGTCGCGATGAACAAAAGCATGATACTCGCCTGATAAGTTCTTCCGCCATAAGAGCAGGAGGCCCTGCTCTCCTGGACGGCCGGACATTGCGGACAACAGCGGTTAGGTAGAGTAGTTTGAAGCTCGCTGGGGCATTCCAGTACCGGACAGGTATCCCTGAGACACGAGAGCGTCGAATTGGCGCAGGTGCAGCACGTGCATGGATCCGTGCAAAGCTGGGTGCCCGACTTGACCATGTGCGTGCCGATTATGCACGCGCCTTTCGGAGGCGGGAGCAATCTTGCAATGCCTGCGCAAAAAAAAAAATGCTTTTAACTTGGACATACGCTACGTCGTGTAAGCGAATGCGCATTATAATCTGACAATGAATCATTCTCTTTTCACGCGCGATAGTGATATAAAATTGTTTTTTTTTTTTTTTTACGATTAACTATATTCACGTTAATCCTTGATCTAATAAAATAAAATATAAAATAAGGGTATTTGAATAGATATATGATACTTAAATTTTATGTCAATTTTACGTAGAATTCAATTATATCTAAAACAAATGCCTGCTCCTTGAAGTTATATCTCCATTCGATGCATTTTATCGCACGATGCATTTTATGCATCGCATTATATTTGATTGTAAAATTTAAAAGTCGCGGAGTGAGATATTATCATAGTTAAATGGCAGTAGCTATTCTCTCGGATGGCTAGATCGTAATGTTTCATGATGACAATCGTAATATTACGTTATTACGGTTGGTTTTTGCGCAATTGCGACATTGGAAAATAATCAGATCGCATAAAACCGGTTCGCGCCTCTGGTATTATGCCTGAGAGAGATAGCGGAATGACCTATAAATTCAAAGTGACTTTAATTGTTTGTGCAATATGATCTACTGAAAATATTTCTTTTGAAAAATGATCTCGCGGAATGAAAATCTGATCGTTATTAATCTGCCTGGCATTGCAATGCTTACGTAATAAAACAATCCCGTATCTTTATGTAATATTACACCCACGTACAATTATGGAATGCGTGTGCGAGAAAGGACGCAATGTTGGGACATTTGCGATCGTTTTTCCCTCAAATTTCCTTCTTTTTCTCGTTTCCATTTATCGATATATATTTTTTTCTTTCGTTCATTTTGCCCGCGATTTTTTACGAAAAGACGGCGAAATGATAAAACGCGAGATATTTGTGCTCATCACAGTAAGTTTCAAATAGCCTCGCAAAACAGCTTTTCTCTCTCTTTTCACAATCATTATCTTCGATCACCTTTCCTATCTCTTTTTTTTTTCTTTTTCTATCCCTATTCCATCTCCTCCATATGCTTCTCTTTTTCTCTCTCTGATACTCCTCGAGCTGGTTGCACGGTTAAAAACTCGGAGAGCAGTCTGAAGAGAGTGCGCAATAAATGCGGTACAAACCTCGCGCCATTCATTCGTCGAATTATGCGTGCAATAAACACATGTAGATTATCAGAATATAGTCTGTTATTTTATACATTCGAGAAAATTAACACTTTGCCTGCCATAGCGGTTGCACATGAGTCGCGTCAGCATTTCCTTGGTGAAATCATAGTGTTCGCTAGTTATTCTTAAAAATTTTATTTCTTATTTAATTCATATCCATATCCAATTTTCGAGAAAATACAGAAAATATTAGTACGTATGTGATATGACAGTCAAAGCATTTAATTGAATATTAAAATTGAGTTTCAATAAAATTCAACATATTGAATTTAATTATCTCTAATATATTTACGATTACATTAGAAGACTTTTATAAAACAAAATAATGGCATTAATCTTTGTTCGGTGAATATTTGCGGATTACAGTTTGCTAAAATTTAAATATTTTCGAAACTATAAATTTCCAATAATGTTACTTTCAAACACTATTTACAATTAAGTTTTTCGAGTCCAATTTAAACCATCGAATTCCACAATGAAAAATAATTAAAAATAAAAAATTTTCACCAAGGAGAACCGTCTCTAAATCCATCTACTATTAAAAGACTTCCAAGCATATCTAACATACCTTACAATTAAATTACATTCTAACAATGTCATGTTTTTCTTGACAATTGGCTCTCACTGCCAACTGCGACAACAGAAAATTAGCTGTTATGGAACGCGATGCATTAATCTATTTTTTGGCACAAAGCTGAAAAAGATGCGTTAATCCTAAACTTGGCAACTACTTGGGAAATAAGCTTATAATAAGAAACATAAGAAAATATGTAAAATAAACATCAAATCTAACGAGAGAGAGAAAGACAATTTAACGATAATAAAAATATATATATATATATTACCAATCACTCGCGCGAGATTTCGTCGAGGAAGTAGTTTCGTCACGCTTTCGGCACGAGGAAAAAGCTCGCGACGCGAGCGTGGGGAATGTGGACACTCTAAATAAAACGCATTATAAATCGGGAATTTGGCCGGCGATTGAGTCACGCGCCGCGACAACGACGGCGACACCGAAATTCCAGCTTGACTTTTTTTTTCCGATCACGCCGTCTTCTTCCGATGGACGTCCACGTTCGCGTTATCGCTGTTCCAGTAATCATTTCTCTGGTTTCTATAATTAAGCCTCTTTGCGGATTTATCTTCTGTCAGAATTACGTAAAGTAATTTCAAACGTGTGGATCGTACTATCTCTCTCGTACATGTATCAAACGCGCGAGATGGACCTAATTAGGCACGCCGCGAGAGGAAGCTCTGTTTTTTTTTTCTTTTTTTGACTTCCTTGTCTATAACGGATATTTTTACGCAACGCGCTTGATAATTAATTAATTTCTGTAATTGATATACGAGCCGAAACAAGCAGTACATCAAAATGGTCAGAGATACGGAGACTTAGGAAAGATAACTAAAAGAACTCAATATAGAGAAAATATCTTACGTGACAATTAAAAATTTATTCTTTTTCAAAAATACGAGACACGTGTTTCTCGAATATTTATATAAACTTGATTTTTATTTTATTGTTTAATCACCTTTTTTAGTGATTATTTGTTGTTAGCATCACACATATATATATATATATATTCGATGCATTTTATCGCACGATGCATTTTATGCATCGCATTATATTTGATTGTAAAATTTAAAAGTCGCGGAGTGAGATATTATCATAGTTAAATGGCAGTAGCTATTCTCTCGGATGGCTAGATCGTAATGTTTCATGATGACAATCGTAATATTACGTTATTACGGTTGGTTTTTGCGCAATTGCGACATTGGAAAATAATCAGATCGCATAAAACCGGTTCGCGCCTCTGGTATTATGCCTGAGAGAGATAGCGGAATGACCTATAAATTCAAAGTGACTTTAATTGTTTGTGCAATATGATCTACTGAAAATATTTCTTTTGAAAAATGATCTCGCGGAATGAAAATCTGATCGTTATTAATCTGCCTGGCATTGCAATGCTTACGTAATAAAACAATCCCGTATCTTTATGTAATATTACACCCACGTACAATTATCGAGCTTGTATGTCGTAAAGGAACAATAAAATTATCACATACGGAATCTAAATTGAAAAAACACGCGTTTAAGCAAATAATAAAATGGAACAAATAGATTTCTTTTTCCCAAGCACAATTCAAGCACTAAATTCAGAAAATTTCGAAGCGGCGCGCGCGATATTCATCTCGAATAATAAAAATTATGTAAGTCCTTTCACCTCGACAGCGCGGGCAACACTTGCCAGGATCGCGAACAATCTTCGCGTTAGGACAATTGAGCATCGGACAAGCTAACTTTGCGCAGGTGAGTTGTTTATTGTTGTTGCATCTGCAGGTGACGCAAGGGTCCTCCGTCGTTGTCACCGACCTATCCGCGGTGACCTTCTGTCCATTCACTAAGCATCCTGTAAAATACGACGGGATCGATCATTTTTGTGCGCTTGGTTTATTCTCTCTGTTGTTTGATATGAAAAATTGTCGGTTTAACATTATATAATAATTTATTTAAAATATATGAAAAATATATGAAAAAATATGAGAAAATATACAAAGAGACTGTAATTACGATTCGAAGAAAAATGCAAATTCTTAGGACGACATTGTGTTACAATATTAAGTTTACGGGACATTTACATTTTGCACGAAGCAAAAAAAAAAAATGGAAACAATACAGGCATTATCGTAAGTTCGTTTTTCGTCAGACATGTAGAAGCGACGTTGTAATTTTCAATCATTATCGTTCTCCCCTCGTTATATCGGAGAGAAACATTCCAGAGCCTTAATTGCGCGGCGGGATGCATTGAGGGGGATCGTGAGAAATATTTGTGAGATTGGTGTGGTTAATTAGCAGCAGCATCGGTGCGCGAGGGAAAAAGAAAAATGTTACGCACCGTCGCATATGGGGCAGCATTGACCGGGTGGGGCCGGTTTCGGGTTGGAGCAGGGCGTGTAACACTCTAGCTTTGCTTTGGTTACGACGCTCGCTTTACAGGTGAATATGTAGCACGGATCGTTCTCCTCTGTCCATTCCGTGTCAGATGCGTGATAAACACCGTCCAGTACGCATCCTGCAATTCACAAAGACAAAATCCATCCTCAAAATGATTGAAATTGCGTAATTCTGGGGAATAACTCGCACGCGCCATTGAATTAAATATTAGAAATACGTTGATTTTTTTTAGACGCTATTATTCATCTAATTATATATTAATAAAATAATAAAAGAATAAAAGAGGGGATAATTTGACTATCCCTCGATATAGAAACTGATTTATGTAATTCAATGTTATTTTTATATTTTAACATTTTCTATAAATGCAATCACGTACTATGTTTTCCAGGCAGATTTTATCTTCGGCGGGCAAGCACTACGCGCGAGCAAGCTTACGTCACCATTAACATAATTAATAGGGTACGATAATGGGTACCGCGCACGAGCATCTGTCGGGTACGTGTCGTAAACAGAGACAGTCGCGAGAGACTGTGATGCTAGAGTTCCTCGGGTTTATCACCGTGTCCGCAAACAGAAGCGTCTTTGTGCCCCGAGAACAATGCTCCGCCGACTGAGCATTCCGCGAGTTCTCGCCTTTCCTTCTCACCGCCACCGACATATTCGCACCATCTTCCTCTCTCTTTCTCTCTCATCGCGGCGCGGGCTCGCTCGAGTCAATTAGAACGATTAGGATAATTAGTCGAATTAGCGGACGAACGGACGAACAAACGTCCTACCTGTGCATTTGTGGCAACACTCGTCGTCGCGCGGGTCCTGCAACGAGTAGCAGCCATCGATGTTCGGGCACTGTTGCTTCAAACACTCGACGAATCCGTTCTAGAAAAAAAATCGGGAAAAATTTATTTATTTTCTCTCGCATATATATGACAAACAGAGTACAACAGATTGAGTCAGAAGTCGCACATTTTTTCTTTATTTTTTGATATCTTACTATTAGACAAAATATCAACTTCTAAGACACTTTGTAAACGAAGAGAGAAAAAGTTTCAATGTCGCTTGCAATGTTATATAAGAAAGGGGAGGGGAAATCATTCTTCGCTATATCTGCAATAGAAGAGAAGAAATTACATAAATTTATATAAATAGATTAAATAAATAAAATAAATAATATAATAATACTAAAAATAAAGAATGAATTTCTACGATAGGAGAGTAAATAAATACAACGCGTCAGTATTCTCTTGCTTATAGTCAGCAAATATTCGTTCGTCCGAGCGGCTTATGATTGCCTCGTAAATTGCGGATGATTGATCGCGGCCGATCGCTTCGGCGCAACAAACAAATAATTATGTCACACGCCGGCACGCCACTCATTGCTGCAACAGCATCAGCAGCGGTAGCAACGGCAGCGGCAGCGGAGCGAAAACAAGAAGCCTCATCTCGGTCGGCCACGAGTCGACGAGTCAATGAACCAAACGCGCAGATAAATCGCCGCGGTCGCGCTAAGATCACTCGTTGATGCAGTCGGGAGAGATGCATCGAGGCTACGCGGCGGCGCATCATAAGATGCACACGCGAGAACGAGCGTGCGTGCGTGCGTGCGTTTGTGTGTGCAGACGCGAATATGCACGAAGTACGAATCGATCGCGTCGAACGGATCGAAGTGGAAATTCCTCTCTTTGACCTCCCGAACCAGGCCAGGCTACTTTAACCCCTTTAAACACTCCGTCACCACATGGCGTTGCCTCGTCGCGTGATAACGACATAATCTGTGAATTGGACTAGGACAACGATATAGTTTTCCTCGCTTTCTATTCCTTTCTCAGCCTCCTTCGCGATCTTTTTTTTTTTTCTCTGGAAAGAAGCGCCGTATCGGATTTAATGAGTGGATTTTTTTCCGCGATTCTTTCGATAAGTCTTGTCGACGCGGTTGTTCGATCAATGAATGTACGCTTTTCTCGTCTGCTGCGTTCACATTCTTCTTTCGCATTGAAATACTTCGAGTGTTACAATATTACGAAGTATAGAACATTCAGGTTTACTGCCTATATTTATATGCATAGATTTTTGAAAATTTGTTTTTTGAAACGTTCATTTTGAATTAACTTTACTTATTTATATGCTAATTATATCAGTCATAAAATAAATTAATGAGCTGCAAATATAATAAAGAAATATAAGAAAGTTTTGTTTTTTGGTTTCACGAATATTTGAGTTTGCTATTTAATTATGAATCAAGATATATAACATTGCAAATTTGGAAAGATAGAGTTCATAATAGTAGTCTACAATAAATAAAAATACACACACACACACACACACACTATATGTATATATAGACATCGATTAGCATTTTTGGATGCACAAGATTTACCTTACAAATACAGTGAAAGCACCTCGTATTCGGAATCTTGTCAACGGTAACATCATCCCCTTCGATGTCACAGGTCTCTCGACTTCCTGCAATTGAATAGTAGCAGATATAGCAAAAAAGACGAATGATCAGAGCGCATTCGCTCTCGCACGCAATATTGGCTTTAAATCGAGCCGCAATATACCGGTATATGCGCGATAGAATAGAGACGCTGCTACACAATGCAGCACATTCCAATCGATTAATCGACTTTTGTATGCTAGAGGCTTCCTCGTAGGAGCATAATACGTAGAACCGAGTGCTCAAGAATTTACTGTTACGTTTTAAATAGCGATCATGCACAATTACGGATGGAAATCGGTTCGATAATAATCGATTTTAATAAGTTTTAATAAGGTTCATTTATTGCTAAATCAACGCGATAGCGTGGAAATTATGAATGAAAATAAGTTTATATAATAGCCAAACCGATACGGCAGTTATTTTCATCCGATACCAAGTATTTTTTTTCGTAATAATCTTTTGTGTGTAATTGTAAAATATTACAGAAAAACACAAGTTTACTAATAGTATTTATAGACTTTTTTTAAATTTAAGGCAATTAGAATAATTTTTTTTAATTTTTAACGGATAGACTTTGTTTTGTTTTTTTTCTTCTCTTTTGCTTTCGTCGCAAGAGTTAAGCGCGACATGGACGTCGTGAACGTACCTTAGGACGTACCTCAGTCGCGTTAAACTCTCCATTTTCCAGCAAAAGTCGCGCTCTGCTGCTAGGTCGTCGGGAGCCGCCATCAACGTCCCTCTCCCGGTTCCCCCGCGCACGTATTCCTGCACACTTTAAGCAACTTTTCTGTAAAACTTTTTTCTCGCGTTTCTCTCTCTCTCTCTCTCTTCTTTTCTATTTACACTTTCGAAGCATAATCCGCCAGACCGTTAAATTTCTAAACGTCGAGTAACGCTCGTTTTCTATTTTCGAATCTCCATTAAAGTGCGTACGAGATATCACGTAATTATTTTGTGTTACTACATTGCTTATGATTTTATTTTTTTGTATTTTTGTTTCTTCAAAAGAAATATCACACACACACGTTTTAGGGCAAAAGAGAATATTGCCCTTTTCACTTTTCTTTTTATTTCTCCTTTTTATCTGTTCCTGTCAGTAAATACGACAAGTTTGGCGTTTTTCTCCTTGAGAAAGCGCTTGGTCTACTCTGTCACTGCTCTCAGAGATTTAACGCATGTGACGTACAGCTTTCGAGGCGGCTTCGCTTCATTTATCTCATCGACCCATTTATATTTCCCCACAAGAGTCGCGAGAGAGAGGAGCAATCGATTGTTCGCTTCGTTGATGACTTCTCGGACGAACGATTACGCAACTACGAATATTGCCACTTTCTTTCGAAAATACTTAAAGATCAATATATTCATCGCACTATCGACGTTAAATGTAGTTGTTTGATTGTGATATTTATTTCACTCTTAATCCCTGTTGATAGAATTAAAAAGATATTACGATTCGATATTACGGTTTATGACATCGAAAATTTTTATAAATACAATGAAGTCTATCAATTTGAAACATCCTGAAGCATTATCATAACAAAATTTAATAGCGTGCAATAGTGCTCTAATATTAACATGGAAGTATTTCTGCAAGATGTGTGCAAGAAAAAAATAAATTCTCAACAGCTTTTTTAATAATTTTTTTAGAATTATTTATATAAAAGATTTTTTTATTTTATTTTCATATTTTGTGAGATTGAAATCCAGAGATTAAATGGGTTCACAAGAAACATAATCGCAAAAACCAGACAGGAACCAATGAAAATGGAAACTTAATTCGTTTCAATCATAACTTTCGTAACTTTTCCCTTGAAAATGTATCAGGTGTTGATTATCAAAGTGAAGGAGATTAGTTTTATAACTGTTCGATAGACAGTGACGTCACGAGAACTCGTAAGAAATCACGAAAGTAAGTGGCAATAGACGATCGGAAATTATTTGTTCATTTCCGAAACAAATTAATATTAATATTTTTAATATGAATATGTTAATTAATATTCTCATGTGTGTTGCTTTTGCTAACTATTTGAAAAGTGTCAACGCATTAATTCAAAGTGCGCAGGAATG